CCCTGGCAGGCCAAAAAAATCCTTAGTTAATTAATTTTCATTATAGACAGCTTTGTAAAAGTATAAAAGCTCTCATAAAATATTTTTCTGAGGTCTGTCTTATCAGGTAAATTACTGTACACAGTGTATTCATTAATTTTCATTTTCATGTAGTGAAGGCTCTATGCCTTCATAAAGTACGTACTTTTCCTTTGTTTAAGGGTATTTGGGCAGTTTATTCTCTGTTGTATTCTCCAGCAAACAATACATACAAATACAGTACACTATTTTCTGAGAAAACACGCATACTTATCCTTTTTTTAAGCCCAATTCCGATAACCCGGCATTTTCACAAACTCGGCCACCCTTCGGTCCACATTAGGCCGAGTTTTCGAGGTTCTACTGTATTTATTTCTACCTTTTTTATATTTTAACCTTCTAAAAGTTAATTTTTCTTAATTAATATTATCAGATAAAATCATTGTGATCAAATGACCTTGTATGTAGTACATTAATTAATATTCTAAGTAGAGGTTTGCTGCCGGGTGGAAGGCAAATGCGAAAATTTAGCATTCTATGTGTAAAACCATAAATGTTAGGATTAAACATTTTTGAGATTATGGCTCATTTACAGATAAAAACAAAACACATCATTCAAAAATATGATGAACTTAGATAAAACATTATCAACCTACAGAAATTATTTTAAAAAACAATAAAAATATTTTTAAATAATATTTTTCTTTAAGGAATTTTAATATGAATGGTTTGTCTCATATTAGTTAAATGATAAAAAGTAACAGAAACAAATCATTTTAAACTTTTAAAAATTGAAGTACAGTATAAGTAAAGTAGCATATTCACTTACAGGTCAGATAATGCAGGATCTTTGTTAATCAGGGTTCTACAATCCGTTTTACATATGAGCCACGAACATAATGCTGACCAGATGCAAAGCTGAACATTAAAGGGACATTTAACAAGCCAAGTGACATAGTTATGTAAAAAGGTTTTAAGTGGTAGCTTTGAACTCATTGGGAAGGAAATTCAACTGTTATAAGCTTGCTCAGATCCCAGGTTAAGTTTTATTTGGGAGAAATATACATCTTAACAATCCTTGTAATCCTATGATATCAGCCCTCTCTGAACACTGGGCACTATTTTCAAATACAGTATTTCTTTCTAAAGCATTGGGCAGAACTTGTTAAAGAATTAAAATATTTTTTTAGTTTTAGGTACTGCTAGTTTGAATGTTATACTTGTATAAGTAGTGTATATATATATTTATTTTATTTATTTAACTTTTTATNAAACAATAAAAATATTTTTAAATAATATTTTTCTTTAAGGAATTTTAATATGAATGGATTTGATTCTCAACAGATTAGTTTATCTGTGAAGCTTAGAATCGAGATTGTCATTAGTGAAAGAAAGAATGAACAACAGTTAATCTTTTTGGATCAATACAAGCTAAACGACATGTTTGTTACTTTTAAAAAATGTTTTTCATTCAAATAATGCTGTGGAGACAGACATCACATTGCATCTCGTGCATCTGCTTAATGAGATGCAGATGTAACGTCCCTCTCCTTTGGAAGAGGGGAAGCTTTACATCTGCATTTCAGTTGCTTGCCTCTCTCCTTTAAAGGAGTATTCACAAGTTAGTGGAAAAAGCTGTAGGAGAGGGAGGGTTTGTAACCAGATGTGATTTTCTTTTAGTCAATCCACTATCCTGCTTTGGACTTCAACAGAACTTTAGGATTACTGAGATGATGACCACTACAATTACTGAAAGAATTACCAAGCAAATGGAAATGTCAGTTGACAATTAATTTCTATCCTCCATTCAACATTTATATCGACATTTAAAACAAAACTAACAGAGCAGCAATATCGTATTTACTTGCATATAACACAAGGTTTTTATTCATTTACCACAGCTTCAAATTCCTAGGTTGTCCTATAGGTGTGAGCGAAAGATTCTTTGCATTTTTGCAAATAATTTTTGTGAACCTTGTATTTGCATTTTTTCCCAAATGATTACCCTCTTGTACTTAAAAACATAAGTATTTTATCTGGGTCATTTGAATCGTTCTTGTATATTGTCAGGAGTACAGATTGAAATTCCAGATTGAAATTTCAAAATCACACAGGAGCCCATTTTAATCTGTTCCTATGTGAAAACGCTGATTATTCGAAAATCAGAATTTGGAGAAACTTGTAAGTATAACTGACGAAGAGTGGTTCGACTGTTAAAAATTAGCAAAAAATTAAAAAAAAGGTTTCCGATTGTCCAGCTTTACACAAACAAATTGTCAATTTTACAAGATTTTCCCTTAAAGTTTAAAATGCCAGTAATTTTTGCAGGATGACACTGTGTACATTTACGTTCATTTGATATTTTACTTATGGTTAAACGAAATAAAATTAGAATTGTACAAATAAATCTAATTTTTTTTTTTTAATCCTTAAAGTCACACCTCGTCCTACGTTCGAGTAAAATATGGTATTTACAAAATAAAGATAATAAAATAAATCATAAAATGTACGAAAAATTGTTGCAATAACATTGTAGTTTTTTGGTATTGGGACTTTTAGGTCATTTATTTAATGGCAATGAAGACATTATTAATTAAAAGCGTCATCCTGCTACTCTAGGAGACTAAGGATTTAATCCAGGCAGGTAAAAATCTCCAGGAATTTTCCATTGGTTGTCTGTTCCAGATACATAAAGTCCTGGTCTTTCATCGCTTGACTGCTCTCATTATGGGTCTTGCTGAACCCATGGCATGATTAAAAGGTCATTTTAGTGCCCTCATGGCAGAAAGAATGCAAAATGAAAAGCAAAAATTATTTTATTTTGTAGCACTCCTATTCCTATTCAGACTTCTGCCTTAGATTCATGAATAAATTTATATTATAATTTATTCATGAATTATAAAAAACATTTAACTTTGGAATGTGCTAACAAAATTAAGTAAAATTTATTGCAATATTTAAAAAAAAACTTGTCATGTTGAGATTTTATAAATTATTAATTTATAATATTAGAGTATTATTTTTCACTACTAGTGATAAAATGTATGAAAAGGCCATAAACCACATTCAGTTTTTCCTTCACTGATACTACCTATTTATACAGTAAATATTTATATTATTTTCTTATACAGCTTAATATGATCAAAAACATAAGAAATTAAAGTGTTTAATGGTTTTAAGGTATTTGTAAGTGTTTTATTATTTTTTTTATTTAATGTTTTATGATACAAAAATTAATTTAATGAAAGGTTCTTCTATTCTTCATCAATTTAATTTTTTAAGTTATTTAATTAATGTCAAGGAACTCTTATTTTCATGCTACAATGGTATCAAAATTTGACAATTCTCTTCGTACAGTGGAGTATGGATAAATGAATATTTTATAAACAAGCTGTAAAATAAATGTAGTTTTATTTTATCGTTCCTTGGAGTAATTTATTTCATTTAAAATTTGAAAAGTAAGAATATCAATCTAAGAAACTACTCCAACTTTTTATTAACCTGGACATTAAATTCTTCATTTTTAAATACAGAAATTAAATATAGAAAAGTCATTCTAAGTCTGTTTGACTTTCTTAAATCTCTTTCGAAGGTATCTAAATGATTTTCTGAATTTTCTATTCTTAGAACACAATCCCGGATACTTAGGATGTTTATTTTTTTAAGTTTCAGAAATTATACTCTAAGAATAGAAAGCTGAAGATGGACATTTGAAAATAACTGAAAATACTTGTGTTGTTTTTGACATTCAATTCTTTTGTACCTATTCAGAAAAAAACACAATTTAATGTTCAAATTATTATTTTAAATTTTCACAACATTATCTATAAGATTAAATGTAAATATAGATAATGACTACAGTTAAAACTTAAATTAAAAAACATTTCTAAAGAATAAAATATTTAGCAAATTCAGATTATTTTTGACATTTGGAAGTATTTGTAAATATATAAACAACAAATTCTGTTAGACTATTGTAAAAATTCAAATGAAAGAAAAAATTGACAAGTCAAGCTGAGCTGTCAAGTGCAGTTTTATCATATTGTTTCACTTGAAAATATGACAAATATTTCCAAAATATAGACAAAATTACTATATTTTAAATTAAAAAATTGTAAGTTTTAATTTATTCTAATGTACATAAATTATTATTATTATTATAAAGTAATATTTTTCTTTTCTGTATATCTAGATTCAATCAGGACATACACTACTATGTGACTAAATTATTCGATTGGATTTTTAATTGATATGACTTAAAGTCATATCGTGTCACTATATATTTTCAATGTTTCTCCGTAAAATCTCATCTAAATGAGCGCATGAATGTATTTTATGAATGAATTTTAATCAATAAAATAACTTTTTGTTGCCAGTTTATCATGTCACTTTTGTGTCTAGCTGTCAGTTTTGTTGACGAGAAATTCAATAATCAAGCAGTCAATAAAATAAAAATTTCAAATTCTTTGATAGATTTCATAAAACTATTTCAATAAATAATTTTATATTATTAAATGTTAGAATTTTAATCTGTTTAGAATTTTTTTAATTGGGATGATCATAAAATATTTAAAATGATTTTTATTTAAATACTAATGACAAACAAAAATAATCAAAAATAAATTTGGAGCAATGCCTCTAACAAGTTGTAACAGTTCAGTGTGTCCTCTACCTCAGTGTTCCGCAACCGATGTGCCGTCACATGGTGAAAGGTATAATGTGAACTTTTACATATTCTGTTAATTTCAAATTTTATTTATATATTTTTATCACAGTTGTTGTGTTTCTTATGTATGTATGTTGTTGTGTTTCTTATGTTATCTTTTGTACGTACAGTTGTCCCTTGATAATCCGACAGGTATGGGACCAAAGGTGTGTCAGATTACCGAAAATAATTACATATTTCGCATTGTTTTGCTAGCAGTAACTTACAATATTCTCTACTCCAACTGTTCGAACAGAACTGCTCACATAAAACACACGAAATGTGTGTCATCGTGTAANATTTTAGCTACCTGAGAGTCTTTTAATCCATCTCTTATTGCTAATTGCAACGTGTGAACAGCACATCGCATATGCTGGATTTGAAACATATTGGACGCTTCCTCCACAATATCATCTAAATATTCCTCTTTTTCTATTATAGGCTCGATTTGTGTGTCAATGGAGAATATTTCATGAATGTCTTCTAATGGAATCTCATTATCTTGATTCATTTTCTCAGTTATTTTTAACATATTCGAAGCATTATCTGTTACAATACACAAAATATTCTCCTTTTTAATTTTAAAATCTTCTAATACCTCTTGAACCAACTTCTGCAGATACTCTCCTGTGTGATGAGCCATAGTATCTTTTACTGCTAATGTCTTCGTAACAATTGTATTATTCTCATCAATAAATCGAACATTAATTGCAAAATAATTCACTCGATGACGAGTGCATGCATCCATTTTAATAAATATCAAGCGATCCTTCAGTTTTTTCCGGAGTTCATCTTTTTTCAAAACAGCCTCTTCAATTATAAGCCTTCTGATGTTTTCTCTATCTAGTGAAACTCCAAGTTTTCTCGCCATTTCACCGTTTAAGCCTAAAAAGGCTGGCCGTGAAAAAAAGATTAAAGGCACACTATCTTGCACCACCATTTCAATTATCAGATTTTTAAATTTTGCACCCGTCATTGTTACTGTAACTTTATCCGAAGCAAAGAATTTGCATACTTGTGTTTGTACTGAACTTAATTTTTGGATATTTTCTAATTTTAAAATAGATGAAGTGTTTCTACTGTTATCTTTTTCATTTACTTCTTGTAGAATTTTAGGATGTAGACGTTGCAAATGTCTTTTTAGATTACCTGCTCTTGTAGGTGCATTTTTTTTTCAGAACTAGCAAAAGCGCTAATTTTTGCTTCACATACATGTTTGCCATCATCATTTTCTACAATGCATTTACACTGATAATATTTTCCATCCGTAGTAAGTTTATAATATTCAAAAACTGCAGACTTTGAATTTGAAAATACTTTCTTTTCCATTGTGAAATTGTGAAAGGGTAATTAGGTATCTAACAATATTTAAGTATATAAAATTAGATATAACTCTTAAAAATAATATGTAGATAAATATAATTCATACTTACAAGTCACAAGTAAAATAATCTGAACTTGAGAATCGTAGTAAAAACCCTTTAAGTACTTTTTTCCGAGTTAACCCAGGTTAGACAAAAAGGACGCAAGTACGAATCCTGAATTAATCCTGAATCGGACAAGGAAGTCGGTCTCCCTCAGAGAAATAGTAGTAATGACCAAACAGCACGTGTTCATATTGGGATTATTCCTGGAACTACTGCACACCTTACTAGAACACCCTCCCCTCAAACCGATTCCCTTCGATGTTTACGTAAGGACGTCCCGCGAAAGTTCACCAAGCAGCTGGCTAAAGGTCAAATAGTTGTAAATTTTGGAGACCCCAGTGTCTCGTTACAACTTGTTTTTAATGCAATAAAATGACAAATAAAACATCTCTAACGATATATTTATTTTAAATTATTTCATATTATTCTAATATTTTTACTATAAAATCGCGTTGGGGGTGAAATTTTTCGCAGATACTTTTACATTTTAATTTTTCTATGGAAAACAAAAAAAGAGAAATGCCGGAGTCGGAGTCGACACATTTTTTTCCGACTCCGACTCCTCTAGCCAGAAATTCCTCCTGACTCCGACTCCAACTCCACAGCCCTGGTTATAATTGTCAATTGGGTTACCATTTCTATAATTTCAATATTAAAATTTTTTATGCTATAACTTGTATGCAATTCATTTTTGACTTACAATTTATGTAATGATTATTGACTATTTTTGAATATAATTATGAAACAATCCAAAAAGTGGGACATTTATCATGACAGTTTTAAAATTGGGACATGTCAAAAGGTAGGACTATCCTGTCTACTTCAAGATGTCTGGTCAATTTAATTTAAACAAATTTTTCATACATATTTTTAACTATTAAAGCTCAAAAACTAATTTCATTGCAGAACTCCAAATTTTAATGTTGGAATCCTAAGGTTTCACAGAATATAAGTTGGGAATCAGCGCTTTATCTTTATCATTTATAATGTTTTGACTTTACTGACACACAAACATTTATATTTTAATCAAGGCCTTTGTTATAATTAGAGTATCATTTTAATTTCAACATTTAACAATTGGTTATTCCAAAACAGACTTCTTAGACTATTATAATAGAAATTTTACATTTTATATAAAATATATAAATTTTAATTAATTTACAATTTTTTAANATTATTATTATTATAAAGTAATATTTTTCTTTTCTGTATATCTAGATTCAATCAGGACATACACTACTATGTGACTAAATTATTCGATTGGATTTTTAATTGATATGACTTAAAGTCATATCGTGTCACTATATATTTTCAATGTTTCTCCGTAAAATCTCATCTAAATGAGCGCATGAATGTATTTTATGAATGAATTTTAATCAATAAAATAACTTTTTGTTGCCAGTTTATCATGTCACTTTTGTGTCTAGCTGTCAGTTTTGTTGACGAGAAATTCAATAATCAAGCAGTCAATAAAATAAAAATTTCAAATTCTTTGATAGATTTCATAAAACTATTTCAATAAATAATTTTATATTATTAAATGTTAGAATTTTAATCTGTTTAGAATTTTTTTAATTGGGATGATCATAAAATATTTAAAATGATTTTTATTTAAATACTAATGACAAACAAAAATAATCAAAAATAAATTTGGAGCAATGCCTCTAACAAGTTGTAACAGTTCAGTGTGTCCTCTACCTCAGTGTTCCGCAACCGATGTGCCGTCACATGGTGAAAGGTATAATGTGAACTTTTACATATTCTGTTAATTTCAAATTTTATTTATATATTTTTATCACAGTTGTTGTGTTTCTTATGTATGTATGTTGTTGTGTTTCTTATGTTATCTTTTGTACGTACAGTTGTCCCTTGATAATCCGACAGGTATGGGACCAAAGGTGTGTCAGATTACCGAAAATAATTACATATTTCGCATTGTTTTGCTAGCAGTAACTTACAATATTCTCTACTCCAACTGTTCGAACAGAACTGCTCACATAAAACACACAAAATGTGTGTCATCGTGTAAAAATTGGATGGGGAGATTCACATCGCAACATGCTTCTGTGCAAGCAGACATGTAACGGGGATGAGTACCTTGACGGGAGGTGCATCGGACTACTGAGCATGTCGGATTAAAAAACGTCGGACTATAGAGGGACAACTGTATTTCATTCTCTGCCGCAGCACTGATGAAATAAGATGATGTTTGCTTATTCTTTATTACAAGCCACCCATTTTTATGTATTCTAATAAATTATATGTAAAGAGAATTTGCTCACAGGTGTTGGTGTCTGTTTAATAACAATAATAGAGAGGTTGAGGCACACGTTTTAAACGTGTATGTGTGACGTTCGGCACCGCTTTCCCATAAGCCTAAAAGTTTGACAATGGTGTTTGGATAGTCGGTGGAATCACGCTCGACATTCCAAACACCATCATCAAACTTTTAGGCTTACGGGAAAGCGGCGCCGAATGTCACACGCACACGTTTACACGTTTAAAACGTGCGCCTCAACCTCTCTAATA